CTAGCCGTATTTCCAGATTTATCTGGCCGAACGCCCTCTTGAGGCATAGCATTGTGTAAATACAATGTTCCCGACGGGTATTTGGTCCTGTTAAAAAATAAAGCCTTCGTGGCCTAGTGGTTATGATGCTTGCCTTGTCAGCAAAAGGTTGCAGGTTCGAATCCCGTCGGAGGCATTTTATTATACAATGATTTTTCATAGGACTTTATTCGTTGAAAAGCTACAGGGTATCCTACGATGTTCCATCATGTCCTATTAAACACTGTATATGTACCTTTGATGATTTATATATTATATATATAATTCAATCATTCCTGACGATGACATAATTAATGTCGAAATATAGAATCCCGACACGATGGCGTGCATTTCGATACTTGGAGTATGTATTATACTATCTTAGTCCATTTAGGTATGAATTTATGTGGAACAAGATGCAAGCTATTGCATTAAATAGTCAATAGAAATCCTATTGTATTGTATACAAAATTTTAAAGTAAACTTGTATTATGAATAACAAATTTATCATCATATTCTAATGGTCAACAAGTTTAATTTAATGGGTAAATGTGTGGATTCTTTTCACAGCCTGGCAACAGTTTACAGATAGTCAAGTTTAGGACATTTTCATTTCAACATGCATTAAATAAAGTAGGCATGAGGAGTGTTTCACAATGCTAGTGTTCCAGAAATTTCAGGCAATCAGCATTGTTTGTTGTAATCGTCATTATTGTCAATTTTTTCATCACTGTATTCAAATTAAAAAAAAAAATTCAAAAAACTTTTATTGTCCAAATTATATAAAACATACAATTGGAAATTTGTTGTTTGATACACTACATAAAATAGAAAAAGTTAATAATAAAAAGTCAACACACAGAAAATACAAAAGTTTGAACACACAACAAAACAGTATTCATAACAGTATTATAATAATGGCAGGATGAGGGCGCCAGAAAACAACTTTCCTTCAATTCAAGGTATTGCATTCTGGACTGGTGTAGATAACAACCAATCTGTTGAGAATGGCAAAGTAAAGGAAAGGAAAGTTTGGCATTCCATGGTTGCCAACATCATTGGATATCAGAATCAGATAGCACATAGAGAGAGAGAGAGAGAGGAGAGAGAGAGGGGGGAGGAGGGGGGGGAGAGAGAGATTCAATAATTAATAAGTTATGAATAGAATACCACCATAACTTACCAACAAGCACTTCCATCCTGTATGACTCCTTTCCACTTGGCCGGTCTGATTCTCCAAAACCTCTCATGTCTAAAGCTACACATCTATGAAATAAAACAAAACAACTATTTTTGTTACTTTATAGAAAAAACAAGTTAATCTTGAAAGCTCCCATGAGGGCAGTATAATAGAGGCAGTAGAGTATATCAAAACATGCTTAAATCAAGGAGGAAATATCCTCCATGCTTAAATACTGTATACAATGGCGCAAGTTATTAATATTATATTGGGTTTCAGCACGGGTTTGCATGAATGGCACGGTTGGTTAACACTGTGTTGTAAGGAACTGAAGGCCGTGTTTCTAATTTTTTTTTTTGTATAAATGAAAATTTTAAGTTTGCAAAAAAGAATTAGAAGAGCTAATAAGATAGAAATCTTTAAATAATTAAAATGTTCACTTGTAAAAAAATTAAAAGGTCTTAAAATTGAAAAAAAAAAAGTCTAAAAATTGAAAGAAAAAAATTAAAAAAAATTGAATATCAAGACATGATTTGAACTCACAACCTTTGGTTTAATAGAACACACCATTAACCGAACGCTCCATTTATACGGCGTGCCCTGTTAGTGGTTATGCAGTATGTTTCTCAGCTTTTTTGGATGGATAATCCTAAAGTACAACATAAGATATGTTGTGATTTGGAGATTGAGATAAACTATTCCCAGTTACCTGTAATTAACACTGAATGCCTTCATCTGGTGTCTCCAGGAGTACCAGCATTCAGGGAACCCATGCAGGAACAGCATCAGTGGTTTGCTTCGATCTCCAGCAGCAACATAATGTAGCTTCAAATTCTGCTCAGTAAATAAAAAGAGACAGATTAATTCAAAGCTTTGTACTCAGTAAAAATTGATAAATAAAAATTAAGTTAAGTCGGCCACATGTCAACTCGGCTGCCTATGAATAAAGTAAAAATACATTACAAAAATTTAATATTTTTTTTGTACCAATTCCTTGTAAAACTGCATATTTTATCGGTATTTACGGTAAATCATATAAAATCATATACAGTTTCATTAGTTTTGATAAACAATGAAAAACATGCAAGTGACAGCAGAAAATGTCAATCAAGACTCTCCTGGTCATTTCAATCATTGAACACACTCATTTTTTTTGTGTGCAGAATAGAGGTTGGTTTAGGGCCCAGTGGACATCTGGGGCCGACTTGACTTGGGGTCGACTTGACTTGGGGCCGACTTGACTTGGGCCGAGTTGACTTTGGGCTGAGTTGACTCGAATTCAAATTTCTTGTCTTTTGATGAGGCCTGGATTGCTCAACAAGTACCAGTACCCCGTATTTCAACTAAACAGAAGGCGTAATCTGAAGGTTTACTCACATTAATCCTCAAAAATCCGTGCTTGCCAAGTTCTTCATTGTCCATACAACCTGGCCAAGTTCCTCGTCGTTTCCGCTTAAAGAACCAGCCAGGGCCTTTCCTAATAAACGAGTACAGTAGTCCAAACAAAACTAGGTAGCCATAAACGAGGCCTAGCAATAATGAGTAATAATAACCAGGAATTCTGCCTGAGAAAAATCCAAACCTTCGTATGATAGACAACATGTTTTCACTATAGCCTGTAGGCTTACTTGTACTACTTCCGACAAACAGTATCTAATCAAAATAGCAGAACAACAAAAGTTATCTTTTCTTCGAGATTGTTTTGATTCAGGACGATCAGCTGGGTGCAGTCAACCTTGACCTGTTGCGCAATATCTAAACCTTTGGAAAACGGTCACGTGACGGCAATAACTTGAGTAAACAAAATTAATGTCGACAATACGAAGGAGGTATATAGGCCTAAAGTCCACTGATTAATCTCAGATATGATAGATACTCCAAGTATCGAAATGCACGCCATCGTGTCGGGATTTAATATTTCGACATTATGCCATCATCAGGAATGTATATGCCCTGTCTCTTATACACATCTAGATGTGTATAAGAGACAGGTATTGCATTCTGGACTGGTGTGTGCTATTGTGCTGTTTTCAAATATTTATTAAATATTTATAGTGATTTTATATTGTATTTATGTTACGCTATTTGGGGGGTGAAATGAAATGAAATAAATTAGGAACATAAGTTATGTTATAATCGTATCAAGTGTAGCCCTCCAAAGAGAGTTCCTTTTTCATTAATATGCAAAGAAAAAGGAGTACGGTATATGCGCATTCCAACCTGCAGCCTCTCAATGATCAAGGCGCGGGTATCCGATTGGACCACAGGTACATGTATGGTTCAAATTTAGCCCCCAGGCAATTACTTTTTTTCTATTTTACAATAACATAGTGGAGCCATTGGATATTGCCATTTGACATCTAAAATTAAGTTGCCATCTATAAAATTGTGTACCTCAGTCTGAAGTGGTGTAGCAGGCCCGACGTATAGCGTGACTTAATTTGTGGGAAGTTCGTTTCAGTGGAAAGTGGACCCTTATCGCCGATACTCTGGAGAACATTGTTAATATATCTACGAATATCCAATTTTTCGTTTTTAAATGAGGACCTTCTCCAGTTTTTGGGCGGTTCTCGTAACCCCCTTAAATCCCCACGCATACGGGCCTGTGTAGACCCTTCATCTGCCAACGTCCCTCCTTCGGGGACCCGGTCATGAAAACTTTAATTCCAGATGGTAGGAAATGAGCTTTTCCGATTTCTGAGGTGTCTTTTAATGACATTTAAGTCATATTTAGGTTTTCCCCCTCTTGAAAACGATTTAATGAATCGCTAATCCCAAAGAGAAAGGGGGGCGGGGGGTTGTTTCCAGGCAGGGTGCAGTGAAGTTGTAACCTTTGATGTTCGGTTCGAGATGTTCCCATGTAATTTCACGGTTTCTTGGTTCCAGGGGCCCTCCCCTGGGAAAATTGTGATTCTGATTGCAGGAAATGAGCTTTTCTGGCTTCTATGAGTTTTTTTAATGACATTTTAAGTCATTAAAAGTTTAGGTTTTTCCCCTCTTGAAAACGATTCAATGAATCGATGAACCCCAAAAGAAAGGGGTCGGGGGTCCTCCCCTGGAAAATTTTGATCTCTAGATGCCGGAAAATGAGTTTTCCCGGCCGCTAATTTTCCCATTGTAAAAAAAAAAACAAAAAAAAACCCTTTTAATTTTTGCCCAAGGATGGGGTGTCCGGACCCGCTGACCTCCCTCCAGATCCACCAATGGATAACTTAGGCCTATTCTAACTGGTAAGGTCTTATTTAGCACGGCATAATATTTCGAAAACTTTATTTTTATTTTTATCCTTAGCTCATGACTCATTCCATCATTCCTCCAATGGCCAGATTTACTCTTACAATTTCAACTGCCAGATGACAACAATGTGTCTACTTGCATTCCAAGGGGCAGTAGACATGCACAAAAAGACAAGCACATCATTTCAGTTTTATTTATTCAAATTTTCTTATCATTTCAAGAATCAGTAGAAGTATAATTGCAACTATTATAATCAATGATGTTATGAATGAGAGGACACGCCATGGATGGCAACATCTAAACTAGTCGAAATATGACAATCAGTGCTATTGAGACAAAATTATGATTAGGCCCCTATATTAAAATACAAAGAATGTGATAAAATGCGAGATAAATCTAAAATTTTCTCGAGTATTCAGCCAGTTAAAAATTTATTCATTTTCATTTATAATTTTCATGAAATTACAAAACAACACATTTTTGTTTCTGACTTTCCCTCCTCCACATGAAAGAGTTTACCAAATAAAATGATATTAAGTTGAAATTTGAGATCTTATTGTAGTTTATCTTCTATAATGTGTAATGGGAATAAGTTTAATCAAGTCAAATAAATCTTAACGTTTTTCAACTTTTAATTATTCATTTGCAAGGCATTAACAGCAGACCAAAAGATGCTCAAACTCGACAACAGAGAGAAAAGGATGTACTCGACTGAAGTACACAAGAAAGTCATGAATCAATATTATTGATTCCTCAAGAGCCTTGCCCAGTACGTACAACGCAAAATTTGGTTACATGAACTTGTAAATGATAGCAGGGGCAATTCCAGAATTGGGAGAAACTTTCACAGATGTAAGGTAGGCCTATCACCTCAGCCCCACCATGGTTGGGACTGAGGTAGAATATATATGTTATGGCATCTCTAGATGGCTGGAAATGACATTCTCAGACATAAGGTTTACAATATAATTTGTTTGCCCATTTTTCCCCACCTCCCTTTAAATTGTCCACTGATCTGCAGTGGTTACTCACTTTCGTTAACGCATAATTTATTACTGCACATAGTCATACCCATCGGCACTGACTTCCATGACACAATTGATAATAAAATGAAATAAAAAATATACATTATTCTTTGTTTTTGCAATTTGCAAAAGCTCTTAACATTTTAAAATGAAACAAGAAAACTAAAAAGACAAGTATTTCATTGCAAATCTGCCTAGAAGAAAAGGCAAATTTATAATATTTTTAAAATATAAAAGGAACAAACTAAGGTTCGACTAGAATCTGTCAAGTACAAATACCATTGTTCAAAAATTTGGTTTTCTAGCAAATACGTTGAAGCAAGCATGTAGTCAAGGAGATGGAAATCAAGGAAAGAGTGGTCATTTACAACATAATAAAAACCAAATGATATGATACAAGGTTAAATGTTTATATGAGAACATGATAAAGCCTCTAAATTATTGAACATTCTACTGGGACAACACATAAATAAAGGAAACTCAGCCAATGGTCTGGGGCGGATGCACCCCCCTAAAGAAAAATAATTGTTGTATTGTATTGTTTATATCTGGCAGGATTTTTAAGGTATAGTTAATTTCCTGCCGCCTATAGGTCCTTATTCTCAAAACTTTGTCTCTGGTGCGGACTCTCACACACCCCCCTGCCGAAAAAAATTCCTGCATCCAACCCAGATGGTGGTCCTCTTAGCACCCATTTTCGTCCACCTTTGGAATTTGTATTTTGTGAACAATTCTAAGAAATAGCAAGCAGGAGTTTACTGCATCCTCATTTTATAACTTATAGATTAGATTCTATGATATATGGATCTACACATACTCAAATCAAGACTGGAACCACATGGTTAGTTTACAGAAATTGCAACTTTTACAGAATGAACTTTTTGTTTGAAGTTTGATAATTCATAAAGAAATTTAATTTACTTTAACTCAAAACTGACTTCTGTCAAGAACTCAAATAAAATTTTAAATAGCTCATTTAAAAGGATCAAATTAATTATTAGCTCCAATGAGAAACAGATAAAAAAAAAAGTAGTTTTCACCAATTTACATTTTACTACAAAAAATTTCTATAATTGATTATCAGCCAATTTAAAAATCTATGCAAAAGAATACAGGAAAATTATTATTTAACTGTCCAAAAATTGACATGGCATATTTGTTTAAACTAAGCAATTCAAATGTGGAATTAAAATTCTCAATTTTTTACCTCATGACTGATAGATATAGAGATTGATTAAGTGCCTTTTATTATTTTATTTAGAATAACACAAAAAAAAAAAAAAAAAAAAACAACCAAAAGATGAAGCGTAATTTAGTTATATAAGAAGATGAAAATTACACAATTTTATTAAAGTTAAGATATGGTGTGGCTTTCTTTATGTAAGTTGAATTGCTATTTTATGTCCATCTTAGTCTCTTAATCTCTCATGATAAAATTTTGATCAAACTTAAAACTAATTCTCCTTTACCCTAAAGTAGAATATGCCATTTTTACACAAGGGAAATGATCTAAATTAAAATACTGTACTTTTAATAATTTTAAAACCATGCAAGGCATGTATTTATCAATATGACAAAATTTTCATCCAACATAACTACGATTTCATTGCATTACATTATTTCAAATACAGTTGAAAACATTAAAGAGTAGAACCCTCCACATTAGGATACCTCTATTAAAAGTACACTCCTATTTAAGTTGACACTTTTTTGGCTAAGAAGCAAGTAACATTTTAACACTATGACTATGGCCAACATTGAGGGGACATCCATAAGAAACACTTTATTTAGTTGCAAAATGTGCCCCCATAGGGGTTCTACTGTATATTTTCATTAATTACTCAGTATAACTTCTACTCCTTCAAGAACTCGGCCATTAATCTATTCACTTCATCTGGACGATCTTGTTGTACCCAATGACTGGCGCCTTCAACAATTTTCAATGTGAAATTGTCTACGTACTTCTCTGTTCCTTTAGCTATTCCGACCTCTAGAGCAACATCCTGGTCACCCCAAATAAGAATTGTGGGGCAGGTAATTCTTTTTGTCTTCATAGGCTTTGTACTAAAAATTGCACGGTAATAATTGATGGCCGCAGTTGCAGTACCTACAGAAAACAAGTTACAGACAATTTAATTACTCCTGCAACATGCAAGTTCATTTTACTGTTCAAATGTTATGGCAGCAAGAAGATGAGGATTTGACAAAAACATTAATAACATAAATTAAATTATCATTAATAATAGTAATGATAAAAATAAGAATAATGAAAATAATGAAAAAAATAAGAAATACAGATTAATAGTATACTAAAACTCAAGTAATAAAAACCTATAAAAAACAAAAACTACAGTAACAACTAAAACATCATTATTAATATTCTATCTGGATAGATGAATATTCAACAATCATATTAATTTAAAAATATTATAATTATATTAAGAAATGACGTTTGTGTGAATACTCACTACATACTCAAATACTTCACATGGGCAAAACATCAATCATATTGAGTTTTCTGAGGGAAATCTTCAATAACAATAATAATAATAATAATAATAATAACAATAATAACTAGACTTATGTCTGTTTGAACAACAGAACATAGGGCTTTTCCTCACTGCTTTAATGAGAAATGAAGTTGAAATTGCAAAAAAAGAAAAGTCGTTAAAAGGTATAAAGTAAAAAAATAACATGGAAAACCAAAATAATTTTAATGAAGCGGAAAAAATGAAGTTGGAAAAAAAAAAACAAAACACGAAAACCAAGTTCACCACGACATTATTAGTGAGACTTGAACTATGGCTGCAATGGTAATAGTGAGGTACATCGGGACCCATAACCATTGCGCGCTATATGGGCCGACCTTGCATAGGAAAGTGCATTTTCAGTTCATAGCGATTAATCACTGAAAGCAAAAATTGTTCATGTATGTAACGGTAGTTTTGTGATTAACCTAGCTGTAACTGGTTTAAGTGCTTTAAAAAATGTAAATTGCGTTTTAAATAATTTAATAAACTGTCAACAAAAAATCTTTAAATTATCCTCATATCCACACCCTACTGCAGATTGTCACCAAAATTGGATCATTTCTTCATTTCCCCATGAAAAACTATTCTGCAAAGTGTTAATTTTATCCATCTATAACAGGGACGTAAGCAATTTAAATGACCCTCAAATTTACATCCTATCCTGGATCGTCCCCTACACATAATATCTTCCTTGTAACTTGGGTTAAACATCACCAAAATATAAACATTTCTTCATCGAAACACGACAAACTATTTTGGATAGTGTCATTTAGAGCCATTGACTATTTTTAGAGAATTAGGTCTGGGACCTTAGGATTTTAAATGATGTATTGGATACATCTCTGAAGTGCTTTCCAGTATAACTCTGGTCATTAGAAACCATAACAATGGCCAGAGCCAGAGTGTCAATCAAACTTAACTGACCAATCAGGACTAGGCTAGGAATATGCGCTCATCTCAAAAGTACACATGCACAATCGCACATGTTTGCATACGTATTTACACTGTCATTGTGGGCTTAGTGGAAAGGTCCATATGCTCTTTGAGGAATATTGCTATTCATTAAGTGAACAGCAAACAGACATATTCCATGAGGTTTGTTTACTGCCGGTCACATGACACATAGTGGGTATTACTATGGAGAATTTACAATGCATTCAGTGTTAAAGTATAGGAAAGGGTAATGTTATGGTTTCGAAAACATTCACCAATTATTAACGCGAGAAATAACTGGCAAGGAAAGGCACTATGATTATTCAAAATAGTGTTTGTTTACTGTACTTATTCTAGTGTTCAATTCGCTTTTGAATTTATGTGATCCTTTGTAAACCTAAGCTAGCCTAGAAATCGTAGCTTGCAAAATTGCAGTTCGCAGATCAAAGACTCTCGTGCATAGAAACAGGGCGTAGACATGCAGGGGCCTAGGCTAAACATTTCTCGAAAAATTTTAATGTTTGGGGCCAATATCTTTTGGAGCATTAAACCATTATGGATAAACTTTCAATTACAATTTCCAATCAATTTGGTATACTTACTGGCATTCCAACAAACATTATTCAACATCAATTATGCGCTTAACAGCATAAACACTCCGAAGAAGCCACAAGTTTTCCTATTACCGAGCGTCGCTTGCGCTGCATGTTTACAATTGATACCCACTATATGTCACACGACCAACCAAGTGGAATGTGTCTATTGTTTCCAACAAAAAGTATTTTACTAGGTACCCTTTCCTACTGCTGGGAAAAGGGTGGAAAGCAACAAAATAACATGCCTTGCTTTAGAATGCCAAAAAATACTTTATGTCATTTGATTAAAGTCCTTTCCCTCAACAAAAAGCCTTCACAGCAATTGCTGCAATATCTAAATGAAACCTATATATGATTAAAGATCAAAATTACCTTTATTAGAGAAAGAGAACTTCATTGCCTCCAAGTCGGTTGTAGTGAACATTTCTGGAGATTGAATTCCAAATGCACGGGACATGTAGCAATCATTCAAAAAATGAAGATCTTTGGAACGCGCCAAAATTTCAGGTAAATAAGGGAGCTGGAAGAAAAACATGTACCTGCAAATAGAAAAATTGAAATAACCTGAATCAGAAATACACCACTTATGCTACGCAGTAAAGGCTTAGCCTCGCCACGGTGTGATTTTCCTCTGAAAATTGGTAAATAGCAATTTGTAGGAATTTGAAACAACAACAACAACAGCAACACAACAACAGCAGCAGCAGCAAAACAAGAAGAAGAAAAACAAGAGGAACAAGAACAAAAACACGATGACAACGACGACGGCGGCGGCGGCGGCGACGACGACGACGACGACGACGACGACGAAGACAACAACAACAATAATAATAACAATAATAGTCATTTGTATATGTGCCTAAAAATTTTTTTTTCTCCCTAAAGTGCTGCAACCACAGCTCAAACTAGGGGACTCCATCATTGTATGCTTTGAGAAAGAGATGAGATTTCAGCAGATGTTTGAGGATAGAGTTTGTGTTTGTTATGTTTATATGCACCTAGTTATAGAATTTACCTACGGTATTTTACATAATGACTATGAATATGATATTAAAAATGATAATATGCACATAATATAATCATATATTTAGTAATAATAGTTAAATATTTACTATATATAATAACAATATCAACTGATAAATTATGATGGTAATAATTGAAATAGTGAATTACATCTTGAACAATAATATAATAGTACCTTATTAATAATAATAATAATAATAATAATATAATCAATAATAAACAAAATAACTTAATAATTAACATATTAAAAATTTACCATGATTTTTTAAATTGACTCCAATGTGAATGAAGGTGTTCCATGAAACGGACAGGATGGCCACAGTTATTAATAATCAACTTGTCAACAAGGTCTGGGTATTCCATTGCAACATGCCACGCAATCTCACCACCCCAGTCATGTGCTACCAACACACAAGAACTATAACCAAGTTCTTCAATCAGTTCCTTCACATCATCTGTACATAATCCAAAGAAATAATAAACATTTCATTAACACCAACATTAACATCTTTCTCTGGTATGATATGTTTCAACATGGGTGACGGAATCATACTAATCTTTAGGCCAACCATCACAATCCATACAATTATACTGAAGCTGCGATCTACCATCTCTGACCTTTGAACTCACCAGAAATTTCAGGTGATGCCCCCACCACCCCATACCCAAGTTGGTTCATATTTGTACACCCCCATACCTGCCCCCTAATGGAGATCTTGGATACAGATTCATATAACCCTACATGCCTACCAATTAGAGCCTGGAGTGTGTAGTTATGCATGCCACTTGGAATGTCGGATTCACCATACCCTCGAAGGTCAAAGGCTACAACCCTGCAAAACAAGAAAACAAAGCACTATGGATAAGCGATAACTATAATATAGTTTTTCCCCCAATTAAAAACCCCTACAATGACACACTTTTCTGTGGTTTCATATGGGCACCGATCTTTTAGTTTCACAATGACCAAAGCGGTCTATAATTGGAGGGAGACCTGTAATATTAAAAATAATAATAACTTCAACAAAAATAAGAATGATAACAACAATAATAACAATAATAATGATAATAATAATAATAATAATAAAATAATGACAATAACAAGAATAACATAATAATGATGAAAGAAATCACCAAAATTTAGATTATTAAATATTTTAAATAAAAAAAAAACAAAAAAAACCATGTTTAATATGAGTATCGTAAAAAAATGTGAGGCCATATAATAAGCTGAATGTTTCATTGATTATTAGAACGCTGCAGGGGTCCCGAAGTCCCTTGCAAGTCGCGGGAGTCTTCCGGAAATCGGAGTGGCCTCCCTCACTCCTGTGAGCAAGTAAAAATCTCCCGGGAACTAATAATGCAATTGTCATTCAATCCCCTACTTTTGTACTGGCACTGAAATTGTATCTTTCGGACATTCTTGGCCTGTCCATGGGGACTTTTGCACCAAAAACCCAACCAAAACAACATTTGTACTGCATTCTTCTAATAACGTCAACAAAAATAAGAATGATAACAACAATAATAACAATAATAATGATAATAATAATAATAATAATAAAATAATGACAATAACAAGAATAACATAATAATGATGAAAGAAATCACCAAAATTTAGATTATTAAATATTTAAAAAAAAAAAAAAAAACCACGTTTAATATGAGTATCGTAAAAAATTGTGAGGCCATATAATAAGCTGTATGTTTCATTGATTATTAGAACGCTGCAGGGGTCCCGAAGTCCCTCGCAAGTCGCGGGAGTCTTCCGGAAATCGGAGTGGCCTCCCTCACTCCTGTGAGCAAGTAAAAATCTCCCGGAAACTAATAATGCAATTGTCATTCAATCCCCTACTTTTGTACTAGCACTGAAATTGTATCTTTCGGACATTCTTGGCCTGTCCATGGGGACTTTTGCACCAAAAACCCAACCAAAACAACATTTGTACTGCATTCTTCATTGTGACTGGCTCTGGCAAAACCAGCCATTTGTCGGAAAAATTCAAAATTGAGTTTTTGGTGTTTTTAGATTAAACAGTGTTTATTTGATGGAATTTGGTTGTGTTTGAGAGAAGTCATAAATATTTAATTTATTGGATATCAGCCATATAGGATTTGAGAAAACAGCTTCCAAAATATTATTAAGATTTTTATTTTAAAAATACTTTTATTTATACTTTTGATTTAGATTTAGTGATTGATCTTTTGCATAAATGTTTCTCAATATATCTTCTTTTATAAAATGCAAAACCCTTAAAATGTTAAAAATTTTGATCCTCCAATGTTTTGGATGCTTCTGGGAAATTAGAAATTGCGACAAACCGACTTGGAGGGTTTTGCCACAGCTGGTCATATATATTACTTAGTACCAATAGATTTATAATAAAAAGGTTCACATTTTTGAATTATTTTATGACTCAAACACATTATAATACCATTTCATGACCAGTCAATAATGCAAGCTGAGTTGCAGACCAACTGCCAAAGAGACATATGCAGCAGTTTAGCAAGGTGGGGACGGGCCCCAGTGTAAGATAATTGTCGGGCCCTAAAAGGCACCTGATCGGACAGAGAGACAGAGCCTTGGTGGGGTCTACTTAGGTGAAACTCTTAATGCTCATACATTCTGAGATTTAAAAAAAATGATATTAATGCAAAATATCTATAAAATATTTGAAAAAAATAGTCAAGGATATTGAGAACCAAATATGGTCAAGAAGTCATATTATAGTTTAGGGTCTATTGGGCATTTTGTTAGTCTCTGATAAAGTATACTGACTACAAAAACAATTATCAACCAAATTGCAGTGAAGTAAATCTAAAAAATGTGCACAAATTTTATATAAAAAGCCATCCTACTTGCAGTTTAGTGACACATAATAAGTAACTTGTAAATGAATATAATCAATATGGCCTCTAAAAACCTAATATTATTGAGGGGTAGAAATTTTTAAGTTATATTTTTATAGTCTCCAATGGGGAAACCTCCTTCATTAAAGCCTGCACCCTCTTTGGTACTCAGCTCCCTACCTGATTTCATTGTTAGCTATTGGCTGCCATACCTGTAATCCTTCTTGAATGCCTTCATCTGGTGTCTCCAGGAGTACCAGCATTCAGGAAACCCATGCAAGAACAACATCAATGGTTTGCTTCGATCCCCTGCAGCAACATAATGTAGGCGTATGCCCTGTGGAAAAACAACCATGAGAAAAAATAGAGTGTTTTCCTACCGTCATCCTAAGGGGATACTTTTGCATTTAACTTGTCCTCTTAGCTCTCATGTTTAATTAAAGGACCAGGAGCTCAAGTATACTATATTACACAACAAAACTTGAGAACCCCTATTGAAATAATTGTCTTTTTTCGCAATTTTAGGGTTATTCCCGATGCTCTTTTGCGATTTGATCTGTTCATGTGTTTTTGTTTCTGTTGTATTTTTTAAAGAGCATATTAAATAAATTAAAATCAAAATCAAATCAAAATACATAAAAGTATGTTAATTGGTGAAAAGTATATTTTTTCATCTGACTCTCCACTGACCTGAGTACAGAATTGTATTAAAATCTCTATAAAGACAAACAATTTTATTCATAGAGAACTGACCAGGCATATTCTCAAATAGTTTTGTAGCTTAACGGCAAATTACCCCTCTTTCACTGCGCTATTGTGATTGCAAACTAATTAGGATGGTAGTTCCATTGTGGTCTGAAACACAATTCATAAAAATCCTATTAATCTCACTCACTTGTTGCAAAAACCTCTTTGCAACAACAAAGTTTTACCATATGACCCCATAGTTGGAAGGGATGCTGAGAATAGCTCTCAAGTGGGCCCCAAAAATGGGTGGAGGAGGGGGGTTGGTGGCTGTGGTGATGGCTCCTAGCGGGGTCTAGGGGAAGAGTCCCTGGTAGGGGTTTGGGTCCGCAGTTTAATGTAGTTTTTTTATGTTTAATTCAAACGCCAATTCCATTATTTTCTGCCATGTGCCGGAATACCAATACAAATGCAGGCTGTGTATTATTGGCGATTCTATTTTCATTTGCTCGAGGGTAAAAATGAAATTTCTGTACTTTTGACCTTGTTCTTTGAACGTTCTTGTTCCGGGTACACACGTTTCACACCCCCAGCACATGCCCATGTACAATTTGTTTCCCTAATAGCAATAAATTACTTATTTTAAAATTAAAACTCCTCCTTCCATGTACTGTAATAATAGACACTCACAAGGTTTGTTTACAGCCGGTCACATGACATACAGTAGGTATTATTATTATGGAGAATTTTAACAGTGCGATCAGTGTGAATAGGAAAGGGTAATGCTATGGTTGCGAAAACAATCGCCCACTATTAACGTAAACAATAATTAGCAAGGAAAGGCAATACAATTGTTCAAAAAAGTGTTGATTTATATATTTATATTATTTATATTATTTATTTCATTTTCTAGTTTTTTTCTGTGCTTTGAATGCCTTGAACTTATGTGATTTTGTTATTAAACATAGCTAGCCTAGAAATCATAGTGTGTTAAAATCACAGTTCGCGGAACAAAGACTCTTGTCCACCTAAACATGCTGTAGATACACAGAGGGGAAAACTGCCCCTCCCCTGACGGTTTTTACCGGGCCGCCGTCGTACCAGGCTGGGTAATAAGAGAAAAGAAAGAGGGGAGAGGGAGGGAAAGAGAAAGAAGAGGAAAAGAAAAGGAAAGAAAAAGAGAAGAGAAAAATAAAGACCCAAAGTATAACAAACA